GAGAGAGAGAGAGAGAGAGAGAGAGAGAGAGAGAGAGAGAGAGAGAGAGAACGGACCGAACGAACAGTATCTAAGGATTGTGATTCATTCTACGACTAGATATAATAAAACTCACGGCCGTGTACGTGCGTGCGTGCATGCTTGTGTGCGTGCGTGTATACGTGTGTGCGTGCGTGTATACGTGTGTGCGTGCGTGAATGCATGCGTATGTGAGTGAGTAACAGAAGAGGGGAGCGTCATGACAAATGTGTGAATAAGTTGAAGACCGAGCGAAATAGTGATAAAGGCAAGAATAACAGCAGAGAGCTGTTCAGAGAGACCGAAACAGGAAAGAAGATGTGAGGCATGGTAGAAATATTCTGAGAGAACGACAGCGAGAATGAATGAGAGAGACGGTAAATATAATAGATCAACAGAGACAGCAAGAGACACCAACAGACAAGCAAGCGAACAGGCAACGAGACAGACAGACAGATAGGTGCGGGAGAAGAGATTATTTGTTATGTGAAATTTAAATGTGAGATACTGTATACGAAACTTTACGAACTCTCCCGCCTGCGACCTTCTCAACAGAGATTATCAAGAAATATGAGCAACACCTTTACCTTCTCCTCCTCTCTCTCCCTTCCCCCATGCCCCACTGGGTTAATTCATATCTATATCATTATTTATTAGTTGTTCTGTGAAACTTGATGCTATAATCATATCGTGTCTTAGTTGTTATCACGCTTGCGATCCGTGCTGCAAAATATTGAAAATGTGATAGAGATCTGTGTGAGATGATGAGTGTAATTGTGCTATATCTCGGTGATCATGACGTAACAAAGCGGAGCGGTCACGTGCGTCGCAAACTCCGCAAGTCACGGATCACGTGTGCTGCAGATGAGCCGGTATTCCGTCGTCTTTCTAGATTTGTAACATCCCAATGTGCGCTGTGTTACTACTACTAGCGCCAGAAGCACGCTATATGTTTGTTGCTGTGTCAGCTACGTGAGTGCGAGCATGGCTGGGGCCGACGTGCCGCAGTAGTGTGCGCATGCGCAGGCGTTTCATGCGATTATCATTATATATTCCAGTATGTAAGCCGGTGGCAACACAGTGCGAGATTTCCCATCGATTGCGAGCTGCTATTATTCTGCTTCCGTGTGCGCAAAAGTACGATGTTTTGCAAATGAAGTTTCATATCAACTAACAGCAGGTCTAGCGAGCCAATACCATCTTAGGTTCTCTAATACCATCGATCGGTTAGTAAGAGGGGGAATAAAACGGTAACGACACAGTGCCGGTTCCAATGTATTCTGTAGTTTACATAATAATTGTATAAGAATCCCGAGAATAACGAAGGAAGGACTGCCTCGGGAATTCTCTTAAGAGAAAAGCGTTTTACGTGCCTTGGCATTGCCTGTAGGTAGGAGCGTTCAGAATGACGTATGACACCACGTGACGGCGTGTGCTCAGACGATCTCAACGGAAGTTTGTTATGCGAGATGGTTTCCCGTAATCATGTACGAACTGAGAGCTGTTATCTTAATTAGTACCTAGACAATAATTCGCATTTTAAAGCATCCAGGGACGTTGATATACGAGGGTGAAAAATAACGTGATTACGACGTGATCACGTGATAAACTGTGAAGACACAAACAAAACGTTTGTGGATGTTTAAATGGTTAATAAATACTTCGCATATCATTAAAATGGCGAAGTTCGATCACATTGCAGTTGCTATGCGACATAGATCGATGAAGATATGAATATGAGTGGTACGAAATGTCTTATAACTTTTGGAATTGAAATTGTGTTTTAAACTGCGACTGTGTGAGAGAGATGGCGACTTGTGGAGGGCGCTTTAGTCAATTTTGCAAGGTTTTGATTTTTTAAATAACATTTTGAACTCGGTTAAAAATAACCGTGTTATTTGGGTATAGGATGTGTTATATCGTTTTGACATTGTAAGTTTACCATTGACATCTCGATGTTTTGATAGTTGGTTAGTATTGTTGACGCTTTTGTTGCTTTAATAAAGTATTATTTATGTTTTCATAGTTAATATGGTCTTGGAATTTGTAGCGATATTTATACAGCACAACGTACGCGTATATTTGTACACCGTTCTCAAATTTAAATGTATAATCGGTATTCAATTCTCTTTATTTTATTTTATTTATAAAACCAAAACAGACAGCCTCAGGTATGGTTTCACGCATATAATTGGTTGATGGTTCCATATGATAATAAATATCAATATTCAGCTAAACCTTCTCATCAGATGCGGGTATAAACCTGGCGAAAATATCGCTGCTGCCATCTGTTGAAAAAGATTCTGCACTTAAGCGTTTAATATTACATAACGTTGTACGTAGTATATAGTAGATATCTAAGCTGTTGTAGACAAATATTGATACCATGACAACGGCACTGTCCCGGGACCTTGCCTTGTAACATATCAACGCGTTGACTCTATTTATCATTAGTGTCTTATTCATGTGCCGCAAGCCTGCTTGTATCGCCTTGTGACCAAGTGACTGTCACTAGTAATGCAAAATTCTACAACACTATACGAAAGTTGCCGCCTTTCTCCGACGTTTCACACCTGACCCAATAACACTACACTCATAGCCATATATCTAACACATATTAACGAGCAGTTTATTAGCAGCCAACGAGTTTTGGCGACTATTGTTGCACTTTCTCTATATCACTATAATAGCATGATCGTGTGTTCAACATCGGTTAGTATTCAATAGAATCTCGCCAGCGCAAACCACCTACTTTACTGAATCAAAAATGACGCTCATTGTACTAACTGATCTCTCGATGCCACACATTATAAGATCTGACACCGTAACTCCTGCAGATAACATGCAGCGTCTAATGGCCCGAGGTTTCCATGAACACCCGCATCAACTGTTCGACTGCTGCTAAATGAATATCTACGGGCGTGACGTCACAAGCCAAATTACTCGTTTGATGCTTGCGTCATCACTTTCGAATATTACTGGTTTATTAGTGGTCGGGTTTCTGACCTCTAACTCGTCTGATCATCCGGCTAGAGGTTACTTCTAACGTCACCGATATCTCTTGGATCTCAAGTTATAATATTGTGTGTTTCCGATTCGCGGAAGCAGAGCGCGTGATAATTCTGCTATTACTGGTTCGTGTTAGAGGCCGTTAAAGGTTACATGCGCAGCATAGTCGACTAGTCGATCTATATCTATCTGGGCGAGGATCGCGTAACCGACAGTGGAGCCCCCTGTCGGCAATTCTACGCATTCTAGTATTGTTGTTTCCTATAGAGGCCTATATAAGTATAATCATCCAAGTATTTGGGTCATGGCGTATATATTTGATCATGGATTTAATAATACTACACAAAAACATAGAGAGGTAAGACCCTGATAGGTTGGTCGTAAGCAAAACACGGAACGATAGTGAGTGTCAACCATTAAACACAAAGATGCCGCAACAAGCTGTTTGAAGAGCAATTTCCTAAAGCTGTTGTCCAATATATTATATTTTTGCACATTACACCATGGTATCAACCAAATCCGTACACTATACATAGCATGCTACGTTGTATTAATTAATTACTTTCATTTCTCAGTCAATTCATGAAAAATCATACCGATAGAAACAGGGAAATGACGTTGGATAGAATAGAACTAGAATTGTGTGCAGAAGTAGCTATTGCTCGATTGAATAGAACAGAAACAGACTGACTAGAGTCTCAAATACTTAATTATCTTACATACTAATGTGGTCGGATTCTGAATATCACATTAACGTAGCCAATACCTGATTAGCACACTCGCTAGTGCGACTGGTGCCTGAATATCACACTAACTATAGGGTAGTCAGTGTGTCCGTATAACCCACTAACTAGGTGGGCCGTTGTTAACTTCTAGCACTATGCATAAGCGATATGTCTGAAAATCTGACAGAATGTGTGCATGTTACCTGTGTGGTGTTCTACAACCATACTATTATCGAGCCGTCGCCACCCACCACCCACCACCAACCACCAACCACCCGCCACCCGCCTGCTCCAACCTACCACCAACCACCCGCCTGCCGCCACC